TCCAGACTTTGCTCCATTATCCGGATAGTATGGAGAGGTCACCGCTGGTGTTCTCGACTGCAGGTTGTGCTTGCACTCTTTTTATAAGTGCATATCATAATGCCGCTAAGACTTTCTTTATCTCTGAGAATGCGTTGCCCATTCAGTATGCAATACTAGTCAAACCTTCACAACTGTAGGGAATCTTACATTATTGGGATCGAAAAATCTCTTGGGGATCTCGGTGGTGAACGAGCAATACAGCGTGGGCTCGAGTCAGGCCGCTCTTGAATTGTTCGTCCCCAACCAGTGCACTGACGATAGCATTATTTCATTGTTTAACTGGCTACCAATTGTGGATAATATCCAATTTTCTCCTCGAACATTTCGTATTCATTCAAGTCATCGCCTTCTTTGCAGCTAAGCCATCAATAACCATGAAGCAAGAGTTAATGGAAGGCAACCGATCAGGGAATATGATCGAGATGATGGTGAAGTCTTATGAGCAGATGCTCGAGAGAAGGCGGCTCTTCTATTGTCCAAGTTCTATTCGCGACATTCTCGGCGGAACAGAGCCCGTGAGTCAGTTCTTATGAGATAGTCACGTTGGATATTTGACTGAGATCAGAATGGAACGTGAAACGCTATTTTAGACGATGAGACCTGCATGTTATTTTGGTGAGCGAGTTAGACGTGATCGCCTGCGAGTTGATATTGCGTTGTTAGTGGAATTTCTGAATTCCATCTCTCCATTTCCACTTTTGGATTTGGATGACAAGGTGTGATGTTATGGAGATCTGAAACTATCGACACAAATATCTAGTGCTTGTTTCAGGTTGCCCTCATGAAACGTTTTTCCGTTTCGTTCTCTATCTTGGAAAAATATTACATCACTATGCGTGTTGGAGGGCTACAAACTAACAGGCTAGTTCTGTTTACCTCCGCAAGAACTCACCATGACCATTGTTAGGCTAATCCTAAAACACCTTCCAGGATATTTCACAGCGACGGGACCTACTCGGATCTCAATGATCCGGATTCAATAGCAAAGGAAGCTAATAAAGTTTCGGGTGGAGGTGTAGACAAAGAAACCTTGAACAAGTAAGTTTCTGAAAGGTGTAGCTCAATTTTGTTCTATCAGCGTGTCGATTTATTTTTTCAGGCTTTTCGTCCAGACGTTGAAAGATTTTTTGCTGGAGTTATCCGTACCTATGTACCACAATAAAATGACTGATGTGGAATTTTGCGCTTTGAACGCCATATTGCTTTTTGATCCAGGTTCGTCTGTTAATGTATATTACATAAAGAATGTGGTGAGATTTTTTCAAGCATCTCTTCTGTTTCTTCACTGTTGGCTTTTTATCCATAACTTTTTTGGCAGTTCGCTTCAATTATTTGGAGTGTTTGTGTTACTTCAAATGTGAAATACCCAACCTTCCTTGATTGTTGCTTTTATTGGGTTGTCTCATAATTCCTGTCGCAATTTCGACACTTTTGTTTATTCAAGTTTTATCTCTTCTGGGAAACAACTGACTAATACACTGGTGTGCAAAACTTAAGGACCGAAGTAACTTTCACATGATATCTCACTGCTAGTTAACCTAGGTGGACCAAATTTGGCACATATATAGAAGTAAATGTTGCGGTACAGTGCAGAGAGTTACTAACAGAAAAGCGCAAAGGGGCGATTGGAAAAGACATTTTTCTGCAAATACCCCTGTCGAAATGCCATGCCGATAGGATGAGCTTCCAACCACTAGCAGATCCTGCAAAAAGAGAGGCGCTAGTATATTTGATCGGTGTATGACACTAACGACTGCCAGTATGTCTTGCCTACGTGTTCCCATACCAAGCCGTAAGATTAAGTTTAAGACTCGCAGTTTTCCTGAGGTATTGTAAAGTGCACACGAGATTGACCTTTAGAGACCGGTCGATTGACAAACTGGCAGGACATCATTTGAGTTTGACACATGGTCATGTGCTACAATAGCTCATCTGAATCCACGCTACACGTGCTCCATAGAATTTGACTGGAGGAAATAAATGGCTTCACCAATTACCGAAAATCCTCACTTTTCAAGAGTTTTCCACCCAGGCTGCTCGATACTCTCGCACACTGCCCTCCATACGATTGAAGCTGAGGGCAAGGGAACCCTTGGAAAGATGCACATGACAGAAGGGTACAACACCACAATCACGTTGATCAGAAAGTGTAACGCGATCATGAGTTGGGGATCAGTACGCCCCGACAACTTTATGCCTCCCCACATCATGTCGCATGCACTACCAAAACAATCATGTTAAACGATGGTCCTGGGTAGATTACACGTTCCTATTTTCCCCATATGCAGGTAAGTCCAGAATCACTACTCACATTCAGTTTGCTCTTGACCGGGAAGAATACGCGATTTTTCAATTCGGTGGTCCATCTCCAATGTCTCGGCTCGTACCAAATGTCCCAGCCGAGGCGTGGATTTCAAATGAATACAGGTATTGTTGATCGATGAGAGAGATCACTCCTAGGCGGTCACTGCGCCACTGTCCGGACTGGGATTACATGCCTTACAATCCTGATAAATGTTTTTGCAACTGCAGCATGTGACTGACGTGGGTCCATTTTTGCCTGTAGCAAAACCTAGCAATCACCTGCTGCTGCGGTTGTTCGTGACCCACAACCTCCTCTTCTTGGGACAGCAGTGGCTGCGGTCCACATTGCTTCTCATGCACAAAAAACAATGCTGTGGTTGACACAAAACTCCTGGACACAACTTCCTTTTTTCAGTTTCCCAATGATTCTTCCTCGCGTAAAGTCACCCTAGTGTTGTCTCTGAGACTTGATGTAATCAAGAACACCACTACATTCCACAGTCACTTCTCCCTGCTTAGTTTACCCCTCTTGTCCTGCCCCACGATACCCATCGTTCTGGGTGGCCACCCCATTTAGGCTCCAGATTGAAGCCGGATGCAAGACATATGAGGCCCACTTCGGTGCCCATGACTGTAGGGCTTCTAGCATTATGCCCGTACAGTTTCATCCAATTCCATCTAATTGTTAATAAGTTAGGACAATTTATCTATCTGGTCCTTAAGTTTTGCACACCAGTGTACTATATCCAAGCGGTCTCGTGGATCAAAGCTGATCCTGCGTGCATTTACCTAGTGGCCATTATGTACCGGGTCCTCCAGCCCAGCCATGAGGAAATGGGGATTGACAGAATAAATCGCAGAAAGGCTTTTCTAGGTGACCGCAATCTTAACACGTTGACGACAACGCGCGTTTTGGGTTTTTGCGCCGCGTGGGACCACGGCGATTTTGCAGGCGCCGCCGCCTCACATCAAATCCGTGAATTTTGAGCTTTAAATACCCAAAACTCCGATGCAACAAAATGTTTAGAATGATATTCGATGTGTCAAACTTATAAGAAGGGAAAGCTGTGAAAAATCGATCTAATTGACGTTTTCTGGCGATGAAAGGCAAGTTTCAGTTGCTTTTGCTGCAGTGAACCTCAAAATTATTTTTGGCGCGGTTGCTCCACTAAAAACATATGTCTTGCTATATGTGTGGGTCTGTACTTACTTCTACTGCTCTTTTTTATGACCAAGATTATCAGAATATAAAGGAAACTAGGAATGAACACAATTGGGAAATTCGTAGGGCTTAGAAAACCTTCGCTAAAAAGGAGCATATTCAACCATTCAATGAACCTCGCCGTGTCTAGTCATATTATGGTGTAGTCTATGGAATAGATGCAAAAAAATTAGAAAAGAAGTAGCGCATGCGCGAAAAAAATAAATATTTTGTGTGTGCAGCGCATGCGCTGCACACGGTCCCACACGGTGCTCAAGGTGTGATGCGCATGCGCTGCACAATGTCGTCAACGTGTTAACTTTCCTCTCTGGCAGATGCTTATTCAAAGCGCAGGGGAGGCGATAGTCCGATAGAGCGATGCCAATGCTATATGGTGGATGAGGTATCGTGGCCCTGGCTATCTCCCCACAACGTGGTGAGTTGGCATTGCAATGTGAGGTCTGGTGTACATTCGGAGGAAGGAGGATCTGAGACGTTTCTGACGATTCCTCGCAGCCCCGAGCCCCGCGCTGGCTTTAGCAATGCTTGTCTTCATACATTGAAGTGGTTCCCAAACCAGGCCACCTAGCGAATCCAATAAAACGAGATCGATATTCTCAGAAAACGGAGTTCGGGCTTTGGTTGAGCTGGTGCTTCCTGGCTGCGAGGCAGCCATAAGACGTGCCGCATGTTGTTGTCGCAGTGGACTCATGACTCATTTCCACCGGTGACCGATTAGGGAAGACTCTGCTTTTGCCATCCAAGAATGGGTTTTCCCCAGGTGATCAGGCGTGCTTCCCGCTCATGGTCGGCCGGACCATAAGGTTTCCATCAAAACTTCACTCTGCAGCAGTCTTTGCCATACTGATGGCCAGTGCTGGTGCATCGGCTGCGCTCAGGTATCTGCTACAATACCATGGTAGCAACGTGCGGAGGCACTCCCAATTTAGGGTGCAAGGGGCGCTCATCAAAAATGACCGCAGGCCCAGTATGAGGTTGAAGTTCATAGCTCGTTTCGTCTTTGCCGTTGCGATTGGTCCACTAGCTCAGTACCCTATCAGTAGCAGAGACTGAGTCAAACACAGCGCTGATCTTCTCTGTTGTCCTCCTTGCTACAGAGTTCATTTGAGGATCGTAAAGCATAATCATTGATTGCAGTCACTGACCTATTTTTATTACTAGTTGATTAACCCGTTAAGGGCTTGCGGGCACTTGAAGCATACTTCAACATACTAACGTATTTCGCAATGAAACGGTCTTAGACGGAAGGAATTTGAAATTGAATAGAAATGCGACAGGAATTATGAGACAACCCAATATTCAACTTACTCTTCGGAAAAACTGCAATCTACTGAGTCGAAACGCATGTAGTTGTGGATTTCGCATATGCCGAATAGTCTACAATCACCAGCTGTGAACATTGCCTTGAAACTGATACGAACAAAAGGAGGGATTCCAGCGTTTCTGATTCTTCTTTTATATGTATTGTTCAAAATCTTCGATTCCCTTGATTAGTATGGATTTGGTCCCTTTCCATGCTTTTCATATTCTTGCGAACGCTGCGTAGGGAAAGATGCGTGACCTATGGCAGCGTGTATATCTTTTAATGGCAGTTGGCACTGACTCAAATAGCTGGGGTTCCAGATAAAAAGAGCACCAGAGTTGCATGGACTCGAAGTGATACATTCAACAGGATTTCCATGTTCGGTTGTTTTGAAACCTGGACGTTGCGCACATGCTGGGAAGTGTTGAAACTAGTGGAGCAGTAGGTAGCAATATTGGGCGCTCTTCTAGATAAGCTACAAGTAAGGGCTCACCCGTTTCATATCCTGTAGATGACGAAACGTTAAGCCACTATGGCAAAGTTCTACCCGCACAATTGAACAGGATATTTCAGCGGCTCCTGGGCTTAGCGCAGTCGCTAGCCATGTCGTACGCCAAGCTCGCGACCGAGTCTACAACGATTGGTTTGGACATTATCAGGAAACTGGTGTGGAGGACATTGGGCAGAGAGTTGGAAATACTATGCTTTTGTTGCCTGCTGTTCAGGTATGTTTTCTAGTCAAAAATAGAATCTTATTTGTCGGCTGATGTCTTCACCTTCTTTTCATTTGCAGACCATAGTCGACACTACGCAAGAGAATTTTCGACTGATTCAGATCTTCGATCTATTTCAGTACGACAAAATCCTCGACGAACTGATGTACCTGGATGATTAGGTAACCGTTGTTCATCGTGGCAATATAGCCGCTGTCGCTATACAAATTTTAGTCTTTAGCAGTTTGTCAGCATGAATTTTGTTGTTTTTCTTTTCTATCAACGTTTACTAGGTGGCTGTTCAGTTCACTTGTTGTTTCCAGTAATAGGGTTAAAACTTTATACCGAGAGCATCTGCAAGGCACTATAGCACACATCTATGTATTATTATTTCTCTCACTGTGATTGACTTACTTATTTGATATGCGGGGTAATACCAAAGCACGTTAGCAGAAGTGGTAGCGGTATCAAAATTCCCCCTTCAAACCTTTTTTTTTCATGCCGAAGTGAAACTAGTTAAACGTCGAGGTATGCAAAATCTTCAGGTTGTTTCTACACTTTTATCTCCCATTTCTTGATAATTTTTACAACATCTGCTATGTATCGTTTTGGGAATCGTTTTATGCCTGTTTTTCGATTTGCTAATGAAAACAATGAATCTGCTTCTGTCAATGTCTTCATAATCCAGCCGTGATCGACCGCGTGTATGCGCTCATTATCTCATAGATCATTTTATATTATGGAAGTTGTAAACCTGTGTTTAGAGTTGCTAAGAGTCAGATAATATGGGCTGATTAATCACGATGGCGGACGCTGTTAGACAGGTTGGTTTGTTGAAGGACTTCCCTAGATACAAAAGTCGCGATCATACGGATGTTCAAGAAGGGTGGTTAGTGGAAGGGTGGATTAGTGTCCAGGTAGATGATAGGTGGCGCTTTCGCAGCGAAGGGCGCGCTATCAACGGCGTGGTAAAGGCCTGAGGTAGTTAAATCCTTTTGGTAGATGGGATAGTGCGCTCGACAGCAGTTTCAGCGCCAAACGACGGATTGAGCGACTGGCTTCCACTCATCTTCGACATATTACTCGTGAAGTAGCATGAGCAATTCCTTCAGGACCAAGCATACTGATGCTGGTGATTATCCTGTTTAACCTTGTAGTGGTGGTTGACGAAAGTTTCGAAGAGCTTTTGAATCGTCTTGCAATTCGACACAATAAAACAGCTCGTCGGAGCGAATTAGTGACTGTTTCTGGAGCACTCAAAGAATCATCAATTCCGGAATGAGATATTTCGTGTGACAAATTTAAAGATGGAACACTGAATTATTAGAATAAAATACATGGAATCTCTAAAAAAACTGGTGTTCGAATCGAAAACTGACAGCGGCAACCTCCTTCTACCGTGATTTTTGCTTACCCTGCGGTATCGTGACCGCGCGCGCCCAACTCTTACTACCCTAAAATATCTGAATGTGGCGGTCAAATAACAGAATATCTCTTGCGGATTGCCTTCGATGGGAGAACAGCAGGTCCAAATCGAACACCGATTACTCCCTCGAGTCAGGATTTTTCCAGGTTTTAATCTCCAGAGCGAAGCAGGTTGACCATTTTGATACCGCATGGTAACGAAGACAAGGAGTTGTGTCGCAAAGCAAATGTTACGCCTGGCTTCGACTGGTTCGTGGCTCGGTAGAAGTTCATAAATGGAAACCTGGAAAACGTGGCTTTCTTCTTTTTCGATTGTGAATCTAAAGAAAGCAGCTAAGGGGGCTTGATTCGGCTATAGATTACTTCATGAAGTGGGCTCCTCGTAGCCTACTTGGTCATACTCATAAATCGCTAAAAAAGTTCTGGCATGAGGTGCAAAAAAGTGGGACCGAACTCATGGTACAACCTCATACATATGTAGTGCTGTCCTTTATGTCGAGATGGCGAAAGGCTGTTGTTTACGGTCAACATTTATGTGCGTTGTATTCCAAATGATACTACTATATTACGCAGTATTACTACATAGCTGCTAACATAGCATTGTTAAATCTGATCAAGTGTTCATGATTTTAGGGGTTCATCTGTCCATTTTGTATGACAGATCTTGGTGACTTCCCACGTCTGCAGAGCCATGTCAATAGCGTCCATCCTGAGGGAGGGCAGGACCTCACCGATACTGTTATCGACAATGTCAAAGGTGAGATTATTTTCTCTCTAGCAGGTGAGCTGAACGGCAGACCGACATGCCAAGTCAGTCATATCATGGGGGATATTGATCTATTAGGTTGTTCGGAAAGTAATGCGGGTTTTGAGACGCTTGCATACTCGGAATATTTTTTTACTAAAAT